GCGTGCCGGACTGTATTGTATCGTGATACAACAGTGTCATGGTGTTTGCACGGCAGCAGTTAGCCGGGAGGCGGCAGGTCGCAGGTTGGCAGGTCGCACTGAAGCAGCACACAGTGCCATCCATATCTCTGCAAAATTGCCGTCTCCCTGTCTCTCTCCTTGCCTCTCTGCGGCATGGTCGGAGCCAAATAGGAGGCCGCGGACCTCACCCACCATACCATACCTCGACTAAGCCTGTGGGCGTTTAAACTTTCCTTTCTAGTGCCGCCTAACAGCAATAGCATTTCAGTGATCCATGATGTCGTACATTCTTGTGACGCTTTTAGCACTCCTTTGCCAGACGGGCATTCACTGCAAAAGTATCAACTCTTTCGCGGTAAGTATAGTTACGATCAACAGTGCTCCCGCCGGAGGATGCGTAACTCGCCGCGAACCAACGAGTTTAAGACCCCTGACGTAGCCTCTACTCTACATTTGTTGACAGTAACATCTCTTTTCCGTGTAGGGCCCTTTCATAGTTTACAACGAACCAGGGGCGGACTGGGGGGTCAAGTGCCTGACCGTGTAAATTCAGCGTGGGGCCCCCGGTGTAATGCGGGTTGCCTACCTCGTAGGGGCAACAGTCAGCTAAATGGCATTTAGTCTATGTACCTTTGGTTGGAGTGGTTGAAATGCAAACCGTTTAAAATCTATCAAATAAGTTCGACTCAAGTTAATGTTTAATGGCGCGCTGGACCTCAATAGTAGATGCAATAAATGAAATAATTCGCGAGCGAAGCGAGCAAGATTTTTTTAAGTCATATACCCTGAATTTTTGGCTATTTAATGCGAGAAACACAATAAGGAATAGGTAACTTTCCCCTTTCCTAGAATACTACTTGTAAGTCCGTCTAAGCCCAAAGGAAATTTGCACTTCTGAGCGAAGCGAGGTGGAAGCTAGAACGAAACCCGTGTATTTTACACCATTTTCTTCTAATTTTACAAGGTAAATACGAAGTATTATTGTTCTTAGACCGCAGATAATATTGAGAATAGACCGAGGAATAGACAAAATCATGGTTAGGAGGGAGCAAAGACGCTATTGTTTTGAGTGAGTTTGGTAAGAAAGCGACCTGCAGCCCTGTCGGACAAGTACGTGTTTAAAAGCGAAATAAGTGCGTGGCCCTACGAGCCTCGGAGGGGCCCCTCCGGGCCCCAAGGGGCCCCCGAGGGTGGGGGGCCCACCCGTGTTTCGCGGTCTACACGGGCGGGCCAGTCCGCCCCTGCAACGAACGCTTCTACATGTGTGAACTACAAAATCGCACGTGTGCGTGGAAATGGAATTTACGAGCCACTCGCTTCAATCCATATAAACCAAGAGATATTCAACTACTCACCGGGAACGTGACGGGTGTAAATGTGACTTTTGATGCCAACTGCTGGGTAAGGCACCGCCGTTACAAAATGAGATTGAGGATTGGCAAAGCACTCCAGGTACAAATGTGTAATTTTCCTAGCTTTTATGAACATATATTTCAGAAGAGAGAAACTAAAGGCCCGTGCCGCGGCCCGTGCATACTGAAACCTGTAAGTACCCTAACTCCAAGTTTGCTCCTATAAGTGGTCCTTCCTTTCTACTAATTACTGTCAAAGAGGGAAGACTTGCGTCTTTTGACACAGGAGAATTAAAATATTGAATGCTAAGAATACTTACTTCTATTCACAGGGAGTTTACGAACTGAATAACGCACCAGTTATTCTGGGGTTTCCAAATATTCCAATCATGCCTTACGGCCGATATAGGTTCAAACTGACCGCCGGAAGGACTGAATCACAAACATGCATGGGATCAGTATTTACGATAATTCCTAAAACCACACACTAAAATTAATGCACTACAAACTGTATCCATTGATAAAAATTTCTTGGGATTTCCCGAAGATTCACTTTCCATCCATATTATAAATTCCAAGAGGACTCCGTTCTTTGTTTTTGTGTACCAAACCGATGCTGAAGGTGGAAGTTTTCATTCGATTATATGTTTCAAAGCTAAACTCGACACGTGATATCTACAGAGTTCTTTGGGAAATCCCAAAGGACAATACTTTTCACGAGTGTTCCTCAGTGAAATCCCAGGCTTTTTCTAACAGTTTTTTGTGCATAATTATTGTGGACATGACATACACTGGAAACGCAAGTGTGTGAATGTCACACACTTATAGGTGTGAATATCAATTCGTACACTTAAGGGGGGGGGGGCTAAACGTGTGAATTTTTCCAACAAAATTCACACGTTTAACCCCGTAAGTGTACGAATGGATATTCACACACCTGCAAGTGTGCGACATTCACACACTTGAGTTTCCAGTGTACAGGATGGGTGATCCGCGCCGTGTTTTTTTCTGCTTATACTGAACTGCATTCATGCGTGCGGACGGGTTGCATAATCACACGGGGTGGTAAGGCGCCCTGGCGAGCGACGATAGGCAAGACCGCCCGCACGCATGAATCCGGTACAGCATAAGCAGAAAAAAACCACGGCGCGGATCACCCACCCTGTATCTGCGCGTACAAAATTAGGCACAAATTACTGTACTAAAAAGAGATCTGTAGAAAATTGTGCATTATTATGGACGAATTTGTACAATGCCAGACGGGCATTCACTGCAAGAGTGCAACAGTGCTTGGCGGGCAGGCGCATCGCTCCGGCACATACGCGAGCACAGGCTCCTGGGTCAACATAAAAACAAACTATGTACACTCTGTACGCAGTCGCCGGTCCTCCGCGTCAGTTTGCTAGAGTGAAGCGTGCTAAATGTGTCGCGGCTCACCTGCCCCTCCCCATCCCCCTCCTCCACTTGGCGCAGCCGCTGCGGCCGTCGCGCGGTGACGCGAACTCTTCGGACGCAGTAGCACCGCTTCCGAATCGTTTTCTCTTTTCATAACAAACGTTGCGCCTGCCTCAGCGACACTCACTGCAGGCCGCCACAGTGAA